TCCACGAAAGCTTATGCTCTAATAAATTTGTTAGTCTCTAAGGTGCCACAAGTACTCCTGTTCTTCTTTTTGCGGATACAGACTAACACGGCTGTTACTCTAAAACAGCCACATTTGGTATAGAGACCCGCCAAGCCATATGTCACCTCATGCCACTGCTATACTGACCTCATCAGGGTCCTGTACGAGCAGTATGGCACACAGTTCAACCAAAGAAGCCCTGCACTGAGTTGTATTATGTGCATTGTATTCCAAGGTGCCCATGGTAACTTGCTCCAGCTGTTCAGCCAGTGCTGCTTATGTCTCAGACCAAATAGTCTGTGTAGGAGTTATTTCCATGACTGTGCCCCTTTGATATGGGTCTCTGCCACTATTTGCATGTTTCGCCTAGTTCTGGTATTTGCCCAGTGCACAGTGGTGTTGAGTGTACAGCTGTCCTATTCCTTCTGGGAACACAGTACACACATACGCTTCCTTCTTACCTGTGAAAATACAGCTATTCTCTTATGCACTTTAGTGCATTCGTATAAGCAAGGTCATGATTTTGCCTTAATACTTAAAAAAAACCCAACTCTATTACAACTAAGATTTCAAAATATTTACAAATGTGAAATACCTTTTTTAGCTCTTTTTGCTGAATTTCCTGGTGTTGTTCCAAATGTAATAGCTCTGCTTTTTTGTTTTCCAGTTCCTGAATACATTGTGCATAGGCTGATTGAAGCCTTAAAATAAAAAAGCATTAATAATAAATATTGAGGGTCAAATTGTTCCCTGCATGAGAAAAACCCATCAAGTGGGCAGACAATGCCATGAGCCACAGCTTACGGAGTTTTTGCCTCACCATTCAATCAGGGAAGGGCTGCCCGCTTATGGAAAAGGCAGGAGATTTGGTCACCTAAACCAGGGTGGAGCTTGGTAGATCCATGGACCACCTGTCTGCTGTAAGAATCCTGAAATCACTTGTGAACCCACATGCCTTATAATGCCACATGGCTACAGCAAAACACACGTTTACTAGCCTAGCTAGGGGGTGTTAGAGAGTCTTGTTTTTTTAATCAATGCATTTTTTAAACCTGTGTTAGAGTACCTAGACCAAAGGAAAGGTGTTCCTTTAATCAAATGAGCATATAAAGCCATATAAAATATATTTTTTAAACAATTAAGCATCATGAAAACTGTTTAACTGAGTGTGTAGCTATTGATTATAATCTCATAAAATAAAATTACTAAAATATTAATTCAAACATGAATTTGATTTTCTAATCTACAATATCTTTTAAAAAAACAATATAAACCAAAGGGAAGAAAAACGTTATTTAGCTCACAAATTCTTTACAATGTAAATGATGTCTTTCAAATACATACTTCATTTGATTTTCTTGGATGTTCTTACATTCTCCAATTTTGAATAATTCTTTACGCAACTGCTGAAATTCCGCTTCCATCCCTCTCCAGAGGGCATCACGTGACTGCAGCTCATTTCTCATCTCTGAAAGTCCTGCCTCCATGTTCTAAGTAAATAAATGATTAAAATGACTCAATAGTGGCTTTAAATTCCATGTTCTTGTAGCATAAATATTCTGACATATACTTTACATTACATATTTAATATGAATTTATTCTGAGGCCAGTTCCTATTTTGGAGTAGGCATTGCTTTTGTAAGGTTTTCAACAGTCAGTCTCTCTCTCCAGAAATGTCGCTCAAAAATAAGATACTTAAAGTTCTTTAGGTCATGCATTGCTAGGATGCGTTTATCTCTGACATATTCCTAGGAAACCTTCTACAGTGTTATGGTAACTTCTCATTTTATTTAAGTTTTCCAAAACAGTTTCAGTTTGCTTCAGTGTGTTCTATCTAGACCATGGGTTCTCAACCTTTTTCTTTCTGAGCCCCCACAACATGCTATAAAAACTTCACGACCCACCTGTGCCACAACTGTTTTTCCTGCATATCCAGTATATTAAAAGCTGTATTAAATTGATAATTATACAGCTAAACACACACATATACATATATAATATAAAAAGAAAAGGATAATATACATACAAAAATAAAAACTGAATATTATTTTTTTACTTAGTGTGAAACTTGTTGTTGGTGCTGACCTGCAGGCTGGGTGGCCCAATGAGGTGACAGGGGGAAGAGGTGGCGCTCCCTCCCTGAGCCCCACCACCTAGGGCTGAAGCCCAGTTTATTTTGGTGGACCCCTTGAAACCTGCTCGTGGCCCCCCCAGGGGACCACGGACCCCTGGTTGAGAACTAATGTTCTAGATCATACTCTATGATGCAGGATTCAGTGGTACCATTTAGTGGTATTTTATATTTTCCTGACATTGAGGTCTAACATTTTATATCCTGGGAATTCTGAATAAGGAGAAGATTAGGTGGAGGTGAATGGCTCCAACAGACACTCTCTAGAAGCTTCCAGAAGCTTGCAGTGTATGTGACTAGATTCCACATGTGGAAACATGCAGAGGCCACTTTGAAGTAGAATCTATCTAGCTAAAACATGCACTCATTCATCTCCAAAGCTATCTGCATCTAGTCAGAGATGACAGTTTATTTATAGCATCAACTATACACGCTTTCAAACCATCACTATTGAGCTTTGCCCTCGGACTTCTCTAGTGTTGATCCTACTTCACCTTTCATTTCTTGGAATTAAAAATGTGACAAACAACTGAAATGTAAACATCATATTGTTATGAGCTTGGTGAAAGCTTGTTATGGGATTGAGACTGATAGGTGTGAACTCACCCTAACTGGAAGCAGAAGCCCCACGTAAGGCAAAAGGAGTGTGTGAATCTGCCCAGAAGTGAGCAAGCATGTGTGTGTGTGTGTGATTACACTAATAAGCTGAGAACAGACATGGTGGCTGATCCTGGAAGAAACCTGGGGAGAGACTTTTGGGTCAGAGAATGCAGGCTGATAAGAGTGCTCCTGGTGCTGTAAGCAAAATAAGCTGTTTCCTGCTATTTGATTCCTTCTGCATTCAGAGATCACAGGACTTTGTACATTCTTTGTAAATACACAAAACTGCATCAAAGAATTACCTAACACCAATTTTTATTCCCAACTGGAACACCCATAGGGCCCCAAACCCGACTAGCTGCTTGGGTCAAAAAGGGCAACGGTATTATGCTTGAAATAATATCTATGTATAAGCCCTCATTATAACCAGTATAATTATACCAAAATATGAGCATATAATTTGAAAACATAACTTTTGAGCAATGGCAAAAAAAAACCCCAAGTAGTGGATAAAAGAAACAAGGATGTTCCAATGGTGGTAGACTTTGCCTTTAAGATAGTATGCTAAGAAAATGTTAGTGTTTTTCATCACTTCTTCGTTTTATTTCAATACATTTAAAAGTGAAAAGAAAGCTTTTTAACCTTCAAAAATGATGATGGAAATTTACATCTCAGAAAAGTGAATCCAGAGCAGCTATTGCAAGTGAGTCCTTTCAAAGGGTTTATTCCCCCAGAAGGGGGGGTCTCAGATTAGAGTGACTTTTCTTCTAACCAAAGAGGACTGTGGTTTTCTTTGTCTGAAAGGATTGCTGAAGTGATGTGAAGCACTCTCTCTCTCTCCTGCAGGAGTTGGGCATACTGACTAAATTCTCACAGCCTTTCTTGGCTTGAGAAGGGTGGACCAAGCTTTAATTGTATATAGGATCTCTAGCATTTCAAGTATTGTGCTACAACTCCACCACTGGACTGGCCCTTTGTTTAAAGGGTTAAAAGCTTTAGTTAAACACCGAAGTGCATCTCTGAACATTTCCAAGTAAAAATTAAATTTAATAAACTCTTAATAGAGGCTACAAGGACTTACTCATGGCTACCTTAGAGTTTGATTCTTTTAAGAATTGATTTTAAATGTATGAATGTATTGTCAAGCATTTACTATAAATACCAGAAATTCTGCAAGGCCTTCTAGTTTGGCTGCTGGATCCTGCATGCTTTTCAGCTAAATTCCCTGTATAACACTGTCATTGCTTCCAAAGAGGCAGGAAAGATTTGGATTCCAGGAATCTGTCAGCTCCTTGTGAGGCGATAGTGAGTGGACACAAACCCAGGAAATTCTTATTACTATATTTATCATCATATAACTCCTGCTTTGGAATCGAGCAGGAATGGATATTAAATAATAAAAGCAATAACAAGGTTTATAATTCAAAGAACCCAGAATGCAGCTATGTTTAAACCTTCAGCAAGCCAGCAGTTTTTCTCACAAACAGTGCTTCATTTGTCCACTATGTGCCTTAACTAGACATTTTGTTTTGATAATTTCAAAATGTTTTTTATTCTAATTAGTTTAAATTTCCAAACCAAAAAGACATTTCAAACTGGAAAACTGGATTTTTTTTTGTGCTGAAAATATCAAAAGAAACATTTAGACAATTTCAAAACTTTTTTTTCTGAACTCTTCTTAATCAAATAATTAGTCAAAACCAACACTTTCCTGCAAAAAGTGTCAGTTTTGACAAATTAGTATTTTCCAAAATTTCCAACCAACTCTACTCAACTCTTCCCTGTACCTGTTCAGCTTCTTTGTTAGATGTGTGACTGAGTTGTCATATAAATGCATTACCACTAGTGAATTCACTACCATCACCTGAACTATGCAGACCTGCCAAGTGTCACACACACATACAGGCCACACCTCAAATATTTCCAGACCACAGCCCAGACTGAGTTCAACAAGCTGCAGGAATGACCTTTAATCATGGCTTATGGTTGTTAAAGAACATAAGAATAGGCATGCTGGGTCAGACCAATGGTCCATCCAGCCCAGTATCCTGACTTCCAACAGTGGCCAATGCTAGGTGGTTCAATGAGAATGAACAGAACAGGCAATTATCAAGTGATCCATCCCCTGTCATCCAGTCCCAAAATCTGACAGTCAGAGTCTTAGGGACACCTAGAGCATGGGGTTGCATCCCTGACCATCTTGACTAATAGCCTTTGATGGACCCATCCTCATTAACTTATCTAATCCTTTTTTGAACCCAGTTATACGCTTGGCCTTCACAACATCCCTGGCAATTAGTTCCACGGATTGATTGTGCGTTGTGTGAAGAAGTACTTCCTTTTGTTTATTTTAAACCTGCTACCTACTGATTTCATTGGGGGAGCCTAGTTCTTGTGTTTTGTGAAGGTGTATAAATAAGACTTCCTCATTCACTTTCTCCACTCCATTCATGATTTTATAGATCTCTATTATATCCCCCGTTAGTCCCAGTCTTTTTAATTTCTCCTCATATGGAAGCTGTCCCAAACCCTTACTCATATTTATTACTCTTCTCTGTTCCTTTTCCAATTTTAATATATCTTTTTTTGAGATGGGCAACCAGCATTACATGCAGTATTCAAGATGTGAGCATACCATGGATTTATATAGTGGCATTATGATATTTTCTGTCTTATTACCTATCCCTTTCCTAATGATTCCTAACATTCTGTTCACTCTTCTGACTGCCACTGCACACTGAATGGATGTTTTCAGAGAACTCTCCACAATGACTCTAAGATCTCTTTCTTGGCTGCTGTGGCTCCCCCTGAGCAGGCAGCCAATTGGCCTCTGGCTCACTGCTCCCCTGTTGGATCACAGTGGGGGAAAAAGTAGCCAGAAGGAGCAGGCAATCAATGGTGGGAAGGACAGAAGGTGAGGGGGGCCCAATACAAGCCCCAGGCAACCCACCATAGTAACCAGCCAGTCCCCCTCATCCATGCTTCCTCTCTCCCTCATTCCCAATAGGACCCAGCTCTCCCCCAACCCTTCACCACCCCACTCGGTTCATCCCAACTTTCCCAAGATACCCTCTCCAGCTCTTTCCTTCTTCCTCCCAGACACCTTCCCTATCATCTTCCTGGACACTCTCACAAACATATCTTCCCTAAGCTACCACCCATCTTCCCTCATGCAATGACTTTACCCCCGTCTTCTCCCTCTTGGGTACTCTTACAAACACAGCTTCATCTAGCCTCCCTTACAATACCACAATTACCCCATCTTCAGTCCAAACAGCCCCATAAACCTCAGATATGGCCCAGCATCTCTCAGCCACCTCCACCCATACAACCCCCAGACCATCCCACAAATCCACCTGCTGCAGCTTACCTCCCCACCAAGGCAGCTCCAATACACCTTTCAGGCACCCACCCTCCTGCCACAGTTTCCAAGTTTTGTGATGCTTAGATGTTAAGCAGAAAGGTATGTGTATATACAAATAATTTGCATACATGCAAATGACTTAATTAGACATTTGCAAATAATTTGCATAAATGTCACACATGCTTGAGTCCCAGTGATTCTGGCATATCTCCTCAAATGGAGGGAGACGTCCCAGGAGGAGAGGGTGAGAGGATGATCAGGGAAATAAGTAAAGATTCTCAAGAATAAAGAAAATAAATACTAAATACTACATTACATTAAACAAAACACTATAACTAACTGAAAGTCAGAGGCAAGCTTGACCAGCTCTAACGTGGGCATGCTAAATACTCTATCTGAGGCCTAGGTGATTGAGAAGGAACTGAAGGCAGTTTGCCCACACAGCCCTACATAGTTGGCACTGCTACCAAAAATCACACCGAACTGGAGCACCCATAGAGACCCTAGTCAAAGAAGAACTAAAAAAGATACCAGTAAGACTGCCTTCCGAGGATACCCTCCCAAGTTCTGGCATGGAAGGCAAGCTGAGGGAAAGAAGGGTATATCGCAGATGGGGCTGCAGTATATAGCACTGCAGAGATTCTGGACAGCACTGAATCCCACAAAACCAGGGGACAGGCTACCGCAACTTCGACAGGCTTCAAGGGTGGTGGGCAACCCTAATACCAGGTTGCGCTACCAGATCTGCCTATAACAAAATATATTACCATACATTTTTTCTAGATACTTAGATACAATTTCATAGCATCTTGTGTACTACTCACGTAAGCCAGACAAACAACATTCATGAAAGCCATTGATACACAAGATACAGTGAATGAAGCTGGGTTTCTTTGGTGAAGTGTGAGGTGTAAAGTGTGAGGAATAAAACATAGACAAGAATAAAATAAATGACAGTACTGCATATCAAAAACATTTTTGTTTTCTCTTGTGTGTCATTCAAAAGATGGCACATCTGGAAGCACATTATGGGGTTTGTAAAGAATGAATGTACTTTACATAATCATCCTCCATACAAGTGTTCCAAAGGAATTTTGAAAATGTATTCCTCAATAATTAATGCTTCAACATTAATTCCTTTAGCTTTATTCCACTGTACTTCTAGAGAAGAAATACCATTACTAGTCATTACCTGGCACTGTGTTTGGTACACTGTTAGTTCCTGTTGTAGTTTTAGATTTTCCTCTTGTAACTTATTCCTGTTCATTGCTATTTCATTCACAGTTGTCTTTAATTTTTCAATAATGAACTCATCCCTCTCAATTTTGGATTGGCTGGAGGTAGCTACATCTTCCTGTTTCTGGTTCTTATTGCTGATTTGGAATTGATAATTCTGTGTCTGTTTCTATAGAACAAGGAAATAATTTCAGTTAAATTCAAAAACTATATTTTGTCCCTTTAGTCCAGACCACTACCAATAAAATCAATAGTGGTCTTTTCATTAACTACAATGGGAGTTGGATAGAGCACCACAGAGAGGCTTGTGCACGCTGGAGGATTTCCTTGCTGCTTCTCCAAAGGACAAGGGATGTTCCACTCTTGTCTTTATTGGGCCTCAAATCCCTTGCCCTCAGTGGAAGAATGTAGTCGAAACTCTGAAAATTTAAGTTTGCAGAATTTCTCAAAGAGTTTTCCCTTCTTGTGCTTATTTCCCTAGAAGGGAAAGATATAGACAATAATGTGAGTAAATACTAATGTGAATGTAATGATATATTTGGACCACATAGCTACAGAAAAATAATTAGTTGAGCGCAATTTTACCCTCCAATATATTGACTTCAATAAGAGTTGTGTATGTGCATTTGAAGGCAGAAATTTGCCCTTCACTTTTAAGCTAACACCACACAATCCATATATAAAAAACCCAGTTAGTTACATAGTAACTGTGCTTCTCTGAGATGATTGCCCACATGGATCCACTCAGCTGGGGAATAATTGTACCTTCAGAATCTTCTAGAAAGTACTATTACACAGGGATCTGAGCTGAGGGTATAATGGGATTGGCCTCCAACCATCCTGTAGTCCCTTTTACTAATTAGGGAATCCTTCAACTGAAAGTTGGGGAAGGTGGGCAGTGTTTATGGATCCACAGTCACCTTGGAAAATCAGTTACTATGGTAACCACTTTCACTGTTTCAAGAATTGACCATGTGGATCCCCACTCCTGGAAGATTAACAAGCAGCAGTAATTATCCAGAAGATGGGTCTGAATTAGCTGAAAAATGACAGCAGGACTGCTCCTTCAAATTGGGCATCAGGTCTAGAGCTCACTTGAAAGAGTAATGCTGCATAAAAAAGTGTACAGAGCTACAAGTAGCATATTTCATTGATGGAGGCAGTGAAAAGGCATGCTATAGATTGTCTTAGGTCCTATTTTGTGTGTTCTGATATCTTTTGGTGGCTCAACACCCGTCTAAACTGAGGTAAAATGACCCAAGGTTTTAGCCTCATATTACACGAAGTGCTAGATCAATAAAAGTATTTAGGCACCTATCTGTCTGTGGCCATATTCAATGCCAGCATGCCTTCTTATGGCAGTGATTCGGCCTCTGTTTCTCTCAGGGCCTTCAGCTGATCTATCCAGCTTTCAATACCTTCCAGGTGATTTAGCCCTCCAGTTAGGTCACATAGCAGTTCCACCCCTCCCCGGGTACCCAAAGTTCAAAATAAATGCAAAGAAATATAAACTATTCCCTTCTCTCAGGGAGGCCCTGACTGGGAACAGTCCACCCCAGATCTTGGCCCCAGCCAGGCTTCTCCGCAAGACTGATAGCCTGGAGCCTATCTCCTGGATGGCATGGAACCTGTCTTTAGGCAAGAAGGCTTTTATAGTTGTATAATCTATCAAGACTCCAAAAAATCTACCCTTTGTGCTAAAGTAGATTAAAAAATTAAAAACTGACTGACCAAGTAACTATATAAACAAAACAGTAAACCTCAAAGCCAATGAGGAGAGCACAGAGTACAACTTGCTGAACCCATTGGTGGTCAAGAGGACTGGAAAGTGTGTCAAGCCACTTCAACTGTTACAATCCCAGAAATCAGTGCAAGGAAAGAAGGATGAGTGGATACATCAAACATTACTTTCTAGAAGATTTTTGAGCTTGGATTCTGGGGTCGCACTGTTCTCATGAATGGGGATCAATATAGACAATTATTGAATGAACACTAATAATTTGCACTACTTACTTTGCAAGTCTTCTTGCAGTACAGATCATCCTAATGAACTGTATATTCATAAATAGCATAGAAGAGATACCACCTAGACAAGAACCTGAGCAAGACCCTATATGCATCATGCTTTTTTAAAGCAAAACTGAGTATACATTATTTTTCCATATTTATCTATTACAAATATTTGTAATACTCATTTGGTACGTATTCACAATATACAAGAAAAACTTAAATAAAAACTACTCCAAGTATCAAGTATTAGTTGTTTCAGAGAGGATTCCCCTGGATTTACAGCAATTTGTGCATATTAATTCTTCTTTAGAGTCACGGTAAATTTAGCAGTGTTTTAGAAAGACACGATGAGTGAGGTAATGTCTTTTATTGGACCAACCTCTGTTAGTGATAAAGACAAGCTTTTGAGCTTACACAGAACCCTTCTTTAGGTCTGGGAAAGTTACTCAGAAGGTCACAGCGAAATACAAGGTGGAATAGATTGTTTAGCATAAAGAGTTAACATGTAAGAGACCATTCAAGGTGAAGTGGGCAGTTAACATCTCTGCAGTCATTGAACAAAAGAGGTTAGTGGGTTATAGATTGTTGTAATGAGCCATATATCCAGTGTCTTTATTGAGTCCATGATTTTTAGTGTCTAACAAAATTATGAATCTTTTTAAAGTGACGAGGATTCCTTTGAGGATGAGGACTGAGAGGTCAGATATGGAGTGATTGTTTTCTGAAAAGTGTTCACCCAGGGGCAATATGGTGCTTTTGTTTTTTATCATTTTTCTGTGTGAGTTAATTTGAAAACATAGTCTCATTTCACCCACATAGTTGTTATTAGGGCACTTAGTGCACTGTATGAGATATACTGCATGTTGTGATAGGAGTGTGTAGGACCTTTTTCACTAACAGAAATTAGTCCAACAAAAGATTACCTTACCTACCTTGTCTCTGTAATACCCTGAGACCAACACGGCTACAACACCACTGCAAACAAGTGTTTTAGAAACATTTTAGTGTTAGTTAAAACAGCTCTTTAGCTGAGCTCATGGTTCAATTAATATTTTTCTAAAGCAGGAAGGTAGAAACTATACCTGAAATAAATTACACTTCTCAGACAATAATTTTCGTTGAGCATCTAAAGAAATGAGATGGTTTTGATATAGTGTCTCCTTCTGATCCCATTCTCTTGATTTTGCTTTAAATTCCTGAAAAAAGCAACACAAGGTCACTAAGCCTTGAAATCATTTTTCTCCAAGTTGCACTAGTGCACTCTTAATAATGAACACTCAGATTTTTTTTATAGTTCTAAGAAAAGTCACTTGTGTAATTAATATATATTTATTATTAATAATGAGGGACAATCAAATCTGTGGAAAGAAAAGAAGTCAGGAAATGCAAAAAAAAAAGTTTTTCATTTTCTTGCAACAAGAGAAAATTCCAGCAGTTGAAAAAGTTGTTATTCTGAGCACGCTGAATAATATCCACAATAACTGAAGTAAAATGTTAGAAATTTTTTTAAAGTTTCATATATCTTCAGTTGTTGTAGACCTTAGAGGCCTGATTCACCACTGTGTTACTCCAGTTTTATACAGTGTAATTCTTCTGATTTCAATGGAGTTACACCAGTACAAATTGGAATAATGCAGCAGTAAGTCAGGCTCTTGGTGTTCAGATGAACAATTTCAGTGCAGAATTATATTTTTTCTTAAGAATGTGGGAGGGCAGCTAAGGGGGAAACTTTTCCTCTCTTGCCCTTTTTTGCTGCTCATTCTGGTAATGGTTTTTGTGAAGTTTTTTAAGTGGTAGGAAGAATTCCTGCCTTGAGTTCACAGAATTTAAACCCAAACCTGATTAGTAATTTCTATTATTTTCATATTTCTGTAACGGAGCTTTAGTTAGGTGTTTAAAGGTATCAGAATTTAAATATTCATAACTAGACTTTGAAGATTATACCCAATAAAATAATTAGTAGTACTCCATAGCTACTGGAGATTGTTGCTTTTTCAGTTTGGATAAAGAATCAAAGTAACAATGCATTGATTTACACACAACCCTCCCTCCCCCGAAATATCTTTAAAACCCAGACTAGGAACTTCATTTTTCCAAATGGAAATGTAGGTTCCAGAGACGTAGATAAATTTGTGCAGTTTTCCTATCTCAGTGTAATTATGAATTTTGAACAGTCAAATTCTGTTTGCTGCATCTATGCCCTATGAAGCTGATTGATCCATAATTTTTCTATACTTTTACTACTGTCTGTTTCGGAATTATAAGCAAATATAAACAGCTTTTATTTCTTCACAACATCAGATACAATGCATATTCATCCGACTACAAAGTGAGGACTGCTGGTTCAAGAAACTAGTAAAGTATTGCTGAGCTTCAGTAGATTTTCAATACAGTCATTATTTTCTTAATATTAGACTCTGCTGAACACATTCCAAGCATTCATTTTTCATACTGCATAATTTACCAACTGGTAGCACTGTGTTGCATTGTATTCATGTTCAAACCCTGGATAAGGTCATTCTCAGATTAGCAGGTTCTGAAAGTGTCATGAAAGATATATATTTAGCCCTAGATGGATGCATAAACCATGCGTTACTCTAGTAGTAACAACTGTTAGCCACTCTGGTGGGCTCCAAGGCTTGACAGATTTTATAATGGTATGGGCTTTTCCACGTGGAAGAGATAGCCACACCTCTATTGGAGGGCTGGTGATATGCCCTATCAGGCAGGAACAATCCTCTGTAGGTGGGAGGAGTTAATCCTACGCTCTGTGTTATGCAAGAAGTCAGACTACATAATCAAAATGGTCCCTTCTAGTCTTGAAATCTATTAAAACTAATTAATAGTGACCATAACATGAAAAGCCTAGAACATCCCCCTGAATGCAAAAATTCCTCTGAACCATTCCCTTATTGAATAATATGTCCCTCAGAGATCAGGGACAGAGTAACTGTTTCTTTCAAATTTAAATTTATGAGCTGGCTGATCTATATTAACAGGACTAAAAACAGTATTAATAAAATTAATGCCTTTGAAGAACAGAAAACACTATCAACACACAGTTCTTTCCATATTGTATACAGAACACTGTACATGCTTATGGGATTTACAGCCTGAAACTGTAAACCAAGTATGAATCCTGAAGATATACTAGATAACAGCAAAATATACTTACTTCCAATTTCTGGTTTAAATTGCTCAGTTCAAATGGAGTTTCCAGATTTTCTGCACATATTTCTTTACCGTGAACCCTATCTTGTTTTATCTGGTGTAACTGTAGTTTTTCATAGCTTTGTGTCAGTTTACAAAACTAAAAATGAAAGGAGATATGAATATTAAGAATATGTGTCACTCTTCTATCTCAGATAATCTTTTATTTAAGTCATAATTGGTAAATGCAGTGAAGCTTAAACATTCTAATTAGTGAATCTCTGTAACAAAGCACCAGTTACTAAAAGTAAATGATTAAAGATGAACAAGACTAAGCTTTCATATAACCCTGAGTGTTTGTTAACTGCCCAGTTAAACACAGATTTACTTCACTGTTGTTTTTTTCTGTTGAAATTTTGTATGGCACTTTTGTTTTTAATCATGTAAAATCAATTCTTGTACTGTATTTATATGAATTGTTTTACATTTGTTTAGTGCCATCTTGTGTTGACAATTTTTAAAAGTACTTCAGTAACCAGAATAAGAGATTAACTGGTTTATATTCACTTATTCATGAAGACGTTTAGCAGTTTAAGGTATTTAAATGCTTAATTTTAACATTAAAACTGTTGATATATTAGGGATATGGTGGTTTCATTACCTTGGGATCATCAGGTACCAAATAATACCAAATATAACTCTGCATACTGATACCTATAATGAAGGGATTGCTCTGGAGCCATGGAAAGAACAGGGAGGTAGACAACAGGAGGACAAAGAATAACTCAGGTGCTGGGTACAAGATGGAAGAAGGTAAGCTAAGCAGCAGAAGACATTGGTGACAGGGTAGAGGGAGGGAATCAGGCAGTAGCAGGAGGATTCTCGGAGGGGTTGAGGTGGAAGGAACTGGGCCATACTTAAAATGGCCATTGTCACCACATTTGCCAATATTTTACAATTTTTACCATGGACACTTCTCCAAATAATCTGGAAGTCTAGTAGCTGCCAGTCCCTCAGCCACCAGAGTTTTGTGTTTACATTCCACTGAATTTTAGCCCTAAATTAATGTTAATCTTAATTAGCAGGGCCTCAAGATTAACACCCTATATTATTATGATATATTATTTTTCAGCACTCAAAAGTATGCTGGGCCCCATGTCTCAACCCTGAAGAATTCACAGTGTAGGTTTAGGTATGACACACAAGTGAGGGTAGTAAACAAATGAGGGGAATGGAAGAAATGAGGTCGGAAAAGGATTACACTAATCAGATCATGTGGCTACTTAGTTTAGGCATGTGTATAAACTGATACATCTGGGGTAGGGAGTCTTTATTGTTGGACCATATCAGGGAATTTCTGTATTAGAACCATAAAGCGTATGTGTATAACAAGTCTGAGGCCAAGAGAGACAAGGGGTAAGATTGAATTCAATTGAATTCCCCACAGTTTAGGCCTCTTGCTTTTCCATTTCTGTGTCTTTCCCTCTCTGTGAGAAACATGCAAGGCCAAACTGCTAATTGTGTTAACACATCCTAAAACAGAAAGTCTGTTCTCAAAAACAACTGTAATTGTACTTCAAAACAGAACACAGCTTTTAACTTGTTTGCTATATATGTTAAAGTTTAAGTAGATTTGCAACATCCTGAGAGTTGCTAGAAGTTAAGAAATAGTAAAGTAATAAGTGATAAATGTATGTTAAAATAGAGGATGTATGTGAATGGATGCTTGATTTAGATAAAGAATGAATGGTCAGGGAAGTGCCAGCCTAGGAATTACAACTTCAGTCTCGATTGGCTGAAGAATGCGCAGACTAGAGAAAACCGGATGACCACCGGAGGGCAGGCTGGAATCCACCCAAGTGCCCCCCCCTTCCCCATGGAGGGCTGAAGACTCCGAGAACAAGATAACACTCAGACATTCAGTCATCAGGGATGTGCCACCTGCTGTTTGAAAATCACCTCAAACAAACATCAGCAGAATGAAGCAATTCCCATAGACTTGTATAAGGACAAAATCCTATAAGAACAGACTCTAAAGACTGAAAATTTTGAGTCCGGTTCTGCAACCACCCTCCAGGAGCATCGGATGCGCATCTGACAAGGACTCGGCTCCACCCTCATGTGTAGACTACCTGGCCAGTACTCTGCCATGAGCAACCTCTAAACTGGTAATTATACCAACTCTGCAGAATTTGTATGAATGAATGTGTGAATGAATAAGGAATGGTAGTGACATAATATTGAATTGCATATCCTAATTTTTCTCTCTCGCTCTGTATTTACAATAAATGTGGCGTTTTGCCTTGCCCTCTTTATAAGATCCTGTTGGTAGTATTTTATTAGTGTAACATAATATTCATCTTCTTTAGGACAGAATTGCGCTTTTAGGAGGGATCTGAATGAGGAAAGAGTGAGTGGTACCTTAATGAATAAGAATTTGAAGGATGTCCCATGCAAAGAGATGCATGAAAGAAGGCAAAGAAGCAGAAGAGGGAGAATGTAATGAAGGGGGCATTAAGACTGGCATGTCTGGCAGAACAAAGGAAGTCGCAGAAAGCAAAGGGGGCAGGTGGCAATTGAAGTCAGGAGAAAGTGATGTATGGCTTTACAAGCCAGAACAAGAAGTTTGCACTTCATACCTGTAGAGCAATAAGAAATCAATGAAGGGGTTGAAATGGTCTGAGTGCTGGATAACAGAGAAAATTTTGGCAAGCTGGGACTCAAGACCAGAGAGAAAGAAATTATGCTAGTTGGTGTTGAAGATGTTCAGAGTGTAAACAAATAATCTGACTGTTGTTAAGATGGATAGGAATGGTCAGATTTTTTAAAAATATTATGAAGGGAACAGGTAGGATTTGCTCATGGCTTGGATGTGCAGAAGAAAGAAATATGCTCAAGGGCACAATTGTCATGAAAGATTACATTAATTATTCATTAATTATTATTATTTCTTATTTATTATTATGAGGAAGTTCTATGGCCTATTTTATATAGGAGGTCATACTACATAATCACAATGGTCCCTTCTGGCCTTGGAATCTATAAATCTATGACCGCCAAGTTGTGAGTCTCAGTAACAGAGAGGATGGTGAAGTTGTTAACAGAAACAGAAAATGATGGCAGTGGAGAGCATTTGGAGAAAAAATGTTTAACTTGAGATGATGACAAGCCATACAAGATACCACAGCGATAACAGGAAATATGATAATGTAAGGCAAGATTTAGATCTGATGTAATTTATGGATTATTTAATTGTACCAAAATCCACCCCACAACTAGTGCTAAAAAAATAGTTACTTACTGGTACAGTAACTATTGTTCTTCGAGATGTGTTGTGCACATATATATATTTCACTGTAAGTATAAGTGTGCCCAATGCAGTTGAGCCAAAGACTTTTGCCAGCATTATCACCAGGCAGCACAACAGGCAGCATTTGCTCTGCTCGTGCTCAGACTGATGGCATACAAGGGGTGTGACCGCAGCTTCCCTCTCTGTTCCTTCACACCACTGCCTATCTAATATCCGAATAGTGGGGAAGGCAGGAGAATTGAAGCATGTATATGTGCATAATACATCTTGAAGAACAACAGTTACTGTACAGGTAAATAACTGTTCTTCCTCCTACGTGATTGTGCACATATACAATCCATTGTACACAACAAGGTAGTGTTGGCCACACTGATGGCCACTTTGAGCGATGTTCAGGCAGTGAGATGTCCTTCAGAGATCGTGGCCAAGAACTGTTCTTTGTATTCTTCAGGCAGTTTTGTCCCCCAATTTGGAAACTGCTCACCAGTTAATAAAGGTATATTTCAACAATAGTGCCTGATAATTCAACACCCTCATCTGAAGAAGCACAGTGATATAGGCCGATTGATAGTGCCAGAAAGGCACTATAAATCCAATCTTTTAAACTTATCCTTTGAAGTGGCTCTAGGATGAAACTGCTTTGAACACTCATTGGCTACCATAACCACAAGGGATTCTGGGACAGGGTGGGTGAAGAAATAATCAAATTCCTGCTGGGAAACCTGATAACACCTGTCCACATATTTAAGAATGGGCAGGACAGAGGCCAGCATCTGCCAGAGGTTCTTCACAGGTTCCAGAAAGGCTTCATTAATGGGACGGACAACCCTTCTTGTGGTAGGTGTTTGTAAGATATCAAAAAACTTCTGTAGGTGGTCTTGCACCAGCTCTTCCTGCAATCCTAGAGATGTGGCCATGAGGTCCTGAAACACTTTAAAGCCCTCTATTGGCTGTGGGGTGGGGAGGAGGGTGATGTCAACTGTGGGGTGATGGCCTTATGCATCGAAGAAGATGAAATATGCTGATGGGAACACCTAGATGTTCTTCTCTTGCATCTTTTTCTGTGGACTTCAGCAAAGGAGGGGATTGAGGGATGGTAGGAGGATCCTCCCTTGAAGTCTCCAGAAAGGGAGAATGCAATCATCTCCTACACTGAGACTCCAACAGTGGTCTAGACACTCTTGGGGCAGTCCAAGATGTGCAATAAAGCCAAAGGGGGATTCCACTCTTTGAACTGCCCATGAGGGTGATAGGCATAATACAAGGACTTCCTTGTAAAAATGCCAATCTTGTCCCTTGATTCTGGCATCACTAGAGTGTGACCTAAAAGGAGACCCGAAAGACTGTGGAGGAAATATAGGTCTATCATGGTCCAAATTTGAAGAGGCGGTATAACTCTCCTTAGTGAATGGATGAGCATTCCACTTGGCATTCGTGGAGGTCTCAATGTCAGCAAAACCTGGTGCTGTCCTAAAGGTACTGACATAGAGGATGTATATGACGGAGCTGGTGGAAGCAGGCAAAATGGTCGGAAGGCAAAAGAATAGGTCAGTGTCAGTGGTGCTGACAGTGCCATCATTGAGGGTTGTGATGAAGAAGCCAGTGGAAGTGAGGAATCTGTGATTGTAAATGATGCTGATGGCACTGACCTGGGGGAGACTGTAAGGTAAGGTAAGAGGCAAGTGTTCTGCTGCAGGTGCTGGGGGTACTGGACCCAACAGTACTGGGAACAAATATGTTTTTTATAACAGTGAAGACCGCAAGCTCAATGGCACCAGTGGAAACAGTGTTGACAGTGTCACCTCAGACAGTGCTGGTAAGTGTCAGTATTTGTGACCTGACCTTGACATGACACTGGAGGACTCATGTGGGGTGCAGAGTGAAACTTCAACTGCCTCTCAGATAAAGAAGAAAGTTTAAAATGTTTCAAGGAGGCCACCGGAGAAAAAGAAGAGCAGCATTTTGTCTTAGACTCTGGGGCAGCTGGAGGGGTGCTCCTTGTGGCCGAGCTGTTCGTTCTCTTGTGATCAGGGTCATGCACTGTGGAGGGAAGCATTATTTCTTTTATAAGATGGACTTTGAGGTGGAAATCCCAGTTTCTTCATCCTCATAGGAAAGGGGGTACAGATAGGACATTTGTCCCTCACGCACCCCTCACCTATGCAAATTAGGCAGCTTTTGTGCCTATCTGTAACAACAATCACAGCCCAGCATGTGGCACATTGTTTGAATCTTGGGGATTTGTTCCTACTGAATTCCTAAATAAAAGGGCTCTATCTAATAAACTAAATTATGCTAAGGCTAACTATAACCAGAATCTTGTACAATTAGAGAAATCTCTGACTAGTGGCTGGTTAACTGAAGCTGAAGAGTGATGGGGAGCTCCAATTCTTGCTAGAGATGGTAAGAAGGAACTGAGAAAGATGTGGTGGCCATGCCCCTTTTATGCCCTTTGTTTCTGAGCATGAGGAAAGCAGGGCAGCATAAGCCACTTGGTGGTAATGGTAGCAAAAGTCTCCAACTCTAGTGCACTGGATGCACTTATACCTACTTACACTTATATACTGTGGAATATATATGTACAGAATCACTAGAGGAAAACTAGAGTTCTTTTTTTCACTGTCCAATGCTTAACTTCCCAGTAGTCACACCAAGATGTAAATCTTGTATCTATATTTACAATGCAGGGAAACATTGTAAGTTACAAAAACAGCTTTTGTTTCATAACTATTTTCGTAAATGACTGAAAGTGGTAATTAGTTGGCAACCAAAACACTCTCAGCTTATTTACAAAGCTGTTTGTTTGTCAAATCAATTTCTCCAACCAAATACAGGCAAACACAGATAAAAGAGAAGACTAGGAAGGGAAATGGAAGTTTAAAAAAGAACAGATGCTCCATTTTATGGTCTGGTGGTATGTGGGTAAGGAATGTTGTCACCATCAGATCAAAATTATAGTTCTTTACTTGGCCACGCCAAGTCCGAGGTCCATCTGAGGTTTTACTGGAAGGCTGATTTGTTGAAGAGGTCTGGTTGTTGGACAAACTATGTCTACATTACAGAGCTTATGCAGGCACAGGCCCCTGGTGTAGATGCAGCATGCGCTGACAGGAGGAGTTTTTCTGCTGGTGTAAGAACACCACCTCCCCAAATAACATTACCTATGCCAACAGAAGCACTCCTCTGTTGGCATAGTTGCATCTACACTGGGGGTTTTATCAGCAAAGCTATGTCACTAGGGTGTGGCTTTTTTCACACCGCTGACTGACACAGCTATGCTGGTATAAGTTTTAAGTATAGCCCAAGCCTTTGTTTCTTTCCCTTTCCCATTAGCAGAAAACACTGAAGACACCATCAGATAAGAAAGAAAAGACCAAATCTAGGACTGTCTAGGCTACATTGTTACAATCTGAGAAACACTATGGACTGAAGTTCAGTTAACCTGACACCTATTAGATTCATAGCTAAGAGTGAAAAACAGAAAAAAAGGACAGACATGGAGCAAACAAAATAATCAAAAAGCAAAATGAATCCAACCTGATGCCTCCTCTTTCCAGTTCCCTCTGGTTTTTATACCTCCTCTCTCATGGAAAACTACCAATCTGTTCATAGCTGGAACTATGAACCTGAAAACTATGAACCTGAAAGCTGTTTCCAGAGCTTTCCAGTAGCCTTCATAACACAAATAATCTTAACTTAAAAACAAGACAACCTTGAGCAATCTAAACCATGTCAACATAAAGACAGTTCTCAAATCAAGATTCCCTGTGTGCAATCATCTTCTAATTATCATGACCCTGATTACGTGATTTTAGCCCTTTAAGGTACTTAGTCCATAGTCCACAGGTCTTACATCTGGCAGAGACTCTTTCCATGTCCTTTGATCACATTGTCACAATAAGTCCAGTGTGGAGAAGTAGATTCAGAGTTCTCCTTATAGAAATGATAATTGAACCCATGAAAGTGGATATGGTCACCCAAAGTTAAAAAGTGTGATAATTTAGCATTCACAAATCCATAAAGACACATCTATTAAATTATACATTAGAAGCATTTTTTAGAAAATAGTTAAGGATAAAATTTTTAAATGTAGATAACACAAATTGAACGAGTACAAAAATACTTCATATTTATCAAACCAAATTCTCAACACAAAGTAAGTCTTTAAATATAATTCTAAAGAAATATTAGCTGATATGATTAGAAATGGAAATATAAAGTAAGTTTAGAAAACTGTTCAAAATCTACTAAACTAACCTGAAAATATTGAACCACTGTAAAATACTGAATCTGACTTTTTCCTTACTTGAGACTTCAGTGCTTGAAGTTGAGCTTCGAAATCCCGAGCCATCTCATATTTAGTCTTCTGCAAGCTGTCTAACTTCTGTCGAAGTATCCCTACCTACATTTAGAATAAACATTCAATTTTACTTTTTCCAAATAATTCCTAAAAGGTTAATATTTAACATAGACAAAATTGTAAATAGGACTGGTGCCCCAAAGGTAAATATTTTTATTGTACGTATTTTAACAAGCTATTAAAAAGTAAAATTAGATACCACAAAACTAAATTGCTTAAGTTTGAGATTTTGTACCCAAAAAGTCCATTGCATATTTACATTATAATTTGATTATAGCATTATATAATTGTGTAATGAAAGATCTTGTCTTAGGAGCAATTCCTTAGACCACCACCTGACCTGAGTAGCTGAGTTGAGAACTGGGCAGATTAACATCTGCGTGAAAATTTTGCTGGACTAGCCTCATAAATAAGCAGTGCCCATCACTCATTTAAGGTAACAATGAACCTCTTTACATTTTTATCTTTTCATGTGCACGTTTATGCATTACTTAAAAACAAAAACAAAACACAAAAACAAACAAACAAACAAACATCCCGCTAAAATGAAACAAACTCACAAGCATCGTGGCAACAAAATGTAGGTAAATCTGAATAACAGAAGGGGTTGCCATTGTGGATAGTGAAAAAGGTAAAACAGAACCTTACTGCACAGATCGTCTTTCATATGTGTATAGAAAATCACACCTGCTTTCATTAGTGACAAAACAATTTTTTTTGCTAATTTTTACTCCTATTAACTCTGCAGAGCCAACATAGCCAAGAGTTCGCAAGATGGATTTTTGTCCACATTTCTTTACTAAACTTGAATTACACAAATGCAAATTGTTGGGAGACACTAGGATTGCACTATAGTCTCTGAATGTATACCCAGTAGATATGACTGTGCATCTGTACAGTGTCTAGCAGAAAGGGTGTCTGATCTTCGATCAGTAATCCTAGGTGGTACTGCAATATAAATAGTAATAATGATGGAGTTGCCAAGGTGTAAATGAAGGCCTAATTTGGCCTGGAGAACCTTTAGAATTAGTGAGAATGCACAAGAAGGAAAGATGCTAACAGCGGGAGTTTGCCTGGGAGCTGTCCGAGAGGAGGTACGCTAAGTGCTGCATTAGG